GCCCCAGGGCCAATACTTTTAAGCGACCAAGAGATAGCCAACCTATCAGATGTCCAGTTCAAAACACTGGTGATCAGGATGCTTGCAGAACTAGTTGATTTTGGTCACAAATTAGAGGAAAAAGTGAAGGCTACACTAAGTGAAATGAAGGAAAATGTACAGCAAACCAATAATGATGGAAAGAAAGCTGGGACTCAAATCAATGAAGTGGACCAGAGGAAGAAAGAAATAACCAAACAGAAAAGAAGGAAGAAACGAGAATTCAAAAAAAAAAAATGAGGAGATGCTTAGGAACCTCCAGGACATCTTTAAAAGTTCCAACATCCAAATTATAGAAGCACCAGAAGAAGAAGAGGAAGAGCAACAAGTAGAAAACTTATTTGAACAAATAATAAAGGAGAACTTCCCCAATCTGGCAAAGGAAATAGATTTCCAGGAAGTCCGGGAAGCTGAGAGCCTCAAAGAAGTTGGACCCAAGGAGGAACACACCAAGGCACATCATAATTGCATTACCAAAGATTAAAATGAAGGAGAGAACTCTAGAAGCAGCAAGAGTTAAGGGGACAGTCACCTACAAAGGAGTTCCCATCAGACTGTCAGCTGATTTTTCAAAAGAGACCTTACAGGCAAGAAGGGGCTGGAAAGAGGAGGTATTCCAAGTCATGAAAACCAAAGATCTGCAACCAAGATTGCTCTATCCAGCAAAGTTTTCATTTAGAATGGAAGGATAGATAAAGTGCTTCTCAGATAAGATCAAATTCAAGGAGTTCATCATCACCAAGCCCTTATTATATGAAATGTTAAAGGGACTTATCTAAGAAAAAGAAGATAAAAAATATGAACAGTGAAAGGACAGCAAACTCACAGTTATTAACAACCACACCTAAAACAAAAGCAAACTAAGAGGACAACTAGATCAGGAGCAGAACCATAGAGATGAAGATCGCCCGGAGGGGCAGCAACAAAGGAGTGGGAGGAGGAGAGGGGGACAGAAGGTACAGAGAACAAATAGCATAGACAGTGGGGAGAAAATAGATGGGGGAGGGCAAGAGTAGTGTGGGAAATGTAGAAGCTAAAGAACTTATGACACATGGACATGAACTAAAGGGGGGATGTTGGGGGAAGTGGGTGTGCAGGGTGGAGGAGAATGAAGGGTGGGAAATGGACAACTGTAATGGCATAATCAATAAAATATATTAAAAATTATTTTCCCTGGTAGTTTTCAAATGCCATCTTTATTACAAGTTAAATTTTCAAATCTAACTTAATCTTAAAAAATGAGGGGAGGCTTAGGAACCTTCAGGACAACTTGAAATATTCCAACATCCAAATCATAGGGGTGCCATAAAGAGAATAGGAAGAGCAAGAAATTGAAAACTTATTTGAAAAAATAATGAGGGAAAACTTCCCAAATCTGGTGAATGAAACAGACGTCCAGGGAGTCCAGGAAGCTCAGAGAGTCCCAAAGAAATTGGACTCAAGGAGGAACACACCAAGAAACATCAAATTAAATTACCCAAGATTAAAGATAAGGAAAGAATCTTAAAAGCTGAAAGAGAAAAGAAGAGAGTTACCTTGTAGGGTAAATGGAGGCAGTCTGGCTTCCTCACCCAGGTGTCTAAGTAACTAGGGAAAGTAGTTTTCCCATAACCTTCAGCTTGATAAGTAGTGTTCTCATAGCCTTAAGACTGGGTCTGATAAACTGTTCTCATAACATGAAGTGAACTTGCATGTGCAGAATTATGCTATGTTACATTTTTTTTTGCTTGAGGCCAGCTTTGTTTGCCTCTAGTTCTAAAATAGCAGTTTATCACTAGAGAGGCACAGCTTGCAGCATGCATGGCTCCACCACCCATGAATACAGGCATGTCAAGCATCCCCATTGCTCTGTGCACTTTCTTCTCTGCTTGAATACCATGATGTTGTAAGGTCTTGAATGACTAAAACACATTTCTACAAAGGAGCTCACATAAGACTATCAGCTAATTTCTCAATAGAAACCTTACAGGCAGGAAGGGGCTGGGAAGAAGTGCCCACTAGCCATTTTGATTTTGTATGTTTGTTTTCTTCTTTTTCCTTCACTGAGTCAGCATGTATTCCTCCCCCCTCTCCTTCTCTCTCTCTCTCCCCACTACACCCATGTGTGTGTTTTCAAAGAGTAAGCATTTTTTATTTATTAGTTCTACATTTTTCTGTGTATAACCTAATTTATTTATGCTTCAAACTTGTTCACATCTTTTACATTTCTGTTGGTTTTTTGCTAATAATTTTATAGTTATTTGTCTTGGAAATGCAATACATTTAATTTAATTCTTCCACTTTCATCTTTAAGTTTGTAGAGCTATTTTTATTCTGACAACTGATTCTGATATAAAGGCTTATTATTCTTTTTAAAAATATATTTTATTGATTATGTTGTCCCATTTTTTCCCTTTATTCCCCTCCACCCTGTACTCCCCATCCCACCATCATTCCCCCACCTTAGTTCATGTCCATGGGTTGTACTTACAAGTTCTTTGGCTTCTCCATTTCCCATATTATTCTTAACCTCCACCTGTCTATTTTGTATCTACCATGGATGCTTCTTATTCCCTGTACCTTTCCCCCCATTATCCTCCCAGCCCCTCCCTGCTAATACCCCTCCATGGTATCTCTATTTCTGTGAATCTGTTCCTGTTCTAGTTGTTTAGATCATTTTTGTTTTTGTTTTTTTTTAGGTCAGTTGTAGATAGTTGTGAGTTTGTTGTCATTTTACTGTTCATAGTTTTGATCACCTTCTTCTCAGTTAAGTTCTCTTAACATTTCATATAATAAGGGCTATAATAATAATAAATTCCTTTAACTTGACCTTACCTGGGAAGCACTTTATCTGCCTTTCCATTCTAAATGATAGGTTTGCTGAATAGAGCAATCTTGGATGTAGTTCTTTGTCTTTAATGACTTCAAATACTTCTTTCCAGCTGCTTCTTGCCTGTAAGGATTTTTTTGAGAAATCAGCTTCTAGTCCTATGGGCACTCCTTTGTAGGTAATTCATTTCTTCTTGTTGCTTTTAAGATTCTCTCTTTATCTTTAATCTTGGCTAATGTAATGATGTGCCTTGGTGTGTGCTTCCTTGGGTACAACTTTTTTGGACTCTCTAGGCTTCCTGTACTTCCTGGAAGTTATTTTCTTTGCCAGATTAGGTAAGTTCTTTTTCATTATGTTTTCAAATAAGTTTTCAATTTCTTGTTCTTTCTCTTCTCCTTCTGGCAACCCTATGATTCTGACATTGTAATGTTTAAATTTATCCCAGATTTTCCTAAGCCTCTCCTCATTTTTTTTTAATTCTTGTTTCTTCATTGTGTTCTGGTGAATATTTATTTCTTCCTTCTGCTCCAAATTGCTGATTTGAGTCCTGGTTTCCTTCTCTTCACTGTTGGTTCCCTGTACATTTTCCTTTATTTCCCCTTGCATAGCTTTCACTTCTTCCTGTTTTCCAACCATACTCAACCATTTCTGTGAGCATCCTGATTACCACCGATTTAAACTCTGCATTTGATATGTTGGCTATTTCTTCATTGCTTAGGTGTATTTTTTCTATGCTTAGATCTGTTCTTTCATTTGGGCCATATATATATATATATATTTTTTTTTTGTCATGCAGGCCTGTTTAGTAGTAAGAGGCAAGGCCTTATATTTTCACCAGGGTGGGGCAAACCACCTCATTGGGCTGTGATGCTGTATGTGGGGGAGCATTCACAGAGGGAAGAGTACCACTTGCTCAGCTCTATCTTGGTTTCCAGTCACTTCTCCCCACTATCCATAAGCTAATTGTGCCCTTCTGGTGCTGATTCCCAGGTGAGTAGGTTTATGCATTTTCTAGAATGCTGTGGGTCTCTCTAATGAACTCACCTGTGAGGCTGGGAATTTCTCCCACGGGTATTTTCTTTTTTTTTTTTAATTAATTTTATTTAGTTATTTTTCAAGTACAGTTTTTATTTTTGTCTATTTCTCCCATCCCAGCCTCCCCCGCCCCTTGCTCCCCACCTCCCTCCCATTTCCACTGCCCTTAGTTCTCGTCCCTGTGTCCTTCCTATTTGTTCCTCCAAATCCCTCCCCCTTTTCCCCCTTAACTTCCCTTCTCTCTCCCCTCTGGTCACTGTCCCCTTGTTCTCTATTTTAGTGTCTTTGTTTTTATTCTGCTTGCTTGTTTGTTTTGTTATTTAGCTTCCTGTTAAAGGTGAGATCATATGGTATTTATTTCAACACCTGGCCTATTTCACTCAGCATAATGCTTTCCAGTTCCATCCATGTTGTTGCAAAGGGTAGTAGCTCCTTTTTTCTCTCTGCTGCATAGAATTCCATTGTGTATATGTACCACAATTTTTTGATCCATTCATTTACTGGTGGGCACCTAGGTTGCTTCCAACTCTTGGCTATTGTAAATTGTGCTGCTATGAACATTGTGGTGCATAGGTTCTTTGATATTGATGTTTCAGGATTCTTAGCATATAATCCTAGCAGTGGAATTGCTGGGTCAAAAGGCAGGTCGATTTTTATTTTTCTGAGAAAATTTCATACTGTTTTCCATAATGGTTGTACTAGTCTGCAATCCCACCAAAAGTGAACTAAGGACCCCTTTTCCCCACACCCTCTCCAACATTTGTTGTTTGTTGCTTTGTCTATTATAGCCATCCTGACCGGTGTAAAGTGGTATCTCATTGTGGTTTTAATTTGCATCTCTCTGATAGCTAACAATATTGAGCATCTCTTCATGTGTCTCTGGATATTCTGTATGTCCTCCTTGGAGAAGTGTCTGTTCAAGTCCCTTTCCCATTTTTTAATTGGGTTGAGTGTCTTCTTAGAGTGGAGTCGTGTAAGTTCTTTGTATATTTTGGAGATTAAACCTTTGTCTGAGGTATCATTGGCAAATATGTTTTCCCATACAGTTGGTGGTCTTGCTAATTTAATCCCACAGGTATTTTCATTCAGAGGGTTTTTTTTGTTTGTTTTGTTTTTACACTGTCCTAGGATAGAATGGACCACCTCAGTAGCTTCTGAGGCCAATACATTTTTATCACCACAATTACTTTAGCAAGCCTGGTTCACCTCACTTCTGCAACATCGCATTCAGAGGTTTTGAGACTTTATTGCCTCTCACTGGAACCTGAGTTGCACAGTTTGTCTCGCTTCACAGTTGTCTCTCCTGATTTATCAGCATGGAAATGTGGGTCAGCCCACTCCAGCAGCTGCTGCCTCATCCAGTCCACCAGCCACCACCTTTCCTTGAGTCCTCTCTGCCCTGGCTGCCCATCTCCCACCTTCCTGCCAGTCTAGATGAATGTTTTTTCTTTAACTCCTTGGTGGTCAGACTTCCACACAGTTCAATTTTCTGGCAGTTCTAGTTATTTTGTGTTTTTAAATTTGTTGTTGTCCTTTTTTTGGTTATGCGAGGCCATAAAGTGTATCTACCTATGCCTCCATCTTGGCCAGAAGTATATCACTATTTTATAAAGTTTGCATTTCTAATTTAAATTCTCCAAAGATTTGTTTAATTGGTTTTATTTTTCAAAATTTTCCACTTAGAAGCTCATTAAAGAAATTTGTTATTGATTTCTAGACTTGGTACATTGTGATTATAGTATGCTTTCATATATTTCTAATTGGTAGAACTTGAGCTCTTTCAGTGATCTAATGTATGTTCAACTTTTGTCAATGTTCCATATACACTTAAAAAGGTCATATATTTCCTCTTATTTAGACGTATTTGGACATATATGTGTGTGTATTTATATTAAGTGATGCTTTATCTATAGCTTTACTTAATTTTTGTCCAGTTGAAAATCACTTTGGACCAAGAATGAAAAAATAACGTCTTATGTACAAGGTAGTTTCTGCACATATATGCTTTATAAAGGTAGCTACTGTTCTGTTTGGGGTATAGATATTATAGCTTCCTTGTAATTTGTGCTCTTGGGCACTGTAAAATTTCTTCTTTCGGTCTTGTTATTTTGGTGAATGAAAGCTCTCTTGTCTGGCATCAGATTTTAGCCTTTCTGTCTCATTTTGTTTTAGATGTGTGTTTTGCATGAATGATTGAATTGTATAGTTTCCTGAGTCAATCTAAAAATATTTTTAAATTTTTTGAATATATAAGCCAATTTAATAGTATTGCTACAACTGATACCTTTGTAAAATTAAGATTTTTTATTTATTATGGATATTATGTTTAATAATTTTACCAGTAGTCTTTAATAGTAATTTTAATAATTTAAAAACATTTTAATAATAATTTTTAATTTTATTTATTTAATTATTTTTAAAATACAATTTTCTGTCTATTACTCCCATCCTAGCCCACCCTGCCCTGTGGCCCCCACCTCCCTCCCATTTCCACCCCCCTTAGTTGTTGTCCCTGTGTCCTTTATACTTGTTCCTCTAAATCCCTCCCCTATTCCCCTGTAATAATTTTAATAATATTTAAATATTTTAAATGTTCTATTAGGTTGTTATTTTAGTTTTACTAATTATTTTCATATTAATAACTTTAATAATGCTCTTACTACCCCCTAAAGTTATCTTTCATTTCCTGAATATTTTTCTAGTTCCAGTTTGCTATTTTTGGTTTATAGAGCTTTTTACAAAATAATTTTTTATTTTTACATTATACTTGACATACAATATTATGATAGTTTCAGGTGTATAAGTACAACACAGTCCGTAGACATTTATATAACTTATAAAGTGATCCTCCAATAAATCTAGTGTCCATCTGACACCATAGATAGTTATTGTAACATTATCGATTATATTTCTTATGCTGTACTTTATATCCTCATGACTATTCTGTAAATACCAATTTGTACTTCTTAATCCCTTCACCTTTTTCAGTCATCCTCCCAATCTACTTCTCATATGATGACCGTCAAAATGTTCTCTGTATCTATGAGTCTCTTTCAGTTCTATTAACTCATTTATTTTGTTGTTTAGATTCCACATATAAGTGAATTATATGGCATTTGTATTTTTCTATCTAACTTATTTCATTCAGCACAGTATCCATTTGTCCCATTCATGTTGCAGATGGCAAGATTTTACCCTGGCTACCCATATTCCATTTTATACATGTACCATTTCTACATCTATTTATCTATTGAAACACATATGGGTTACTTCCTTATCTTAGTTATTGCAAATAGTGCTGCAATAAACACACGCATACATATGACTTTTTAATTTAGTGTTTTAGTTTTCTTCAGATAAAACCCAGAAGTGAAGTTCCTGGGTCTTTCATTGTTTCTTATTATATAGCCTCTAGTTTAAAGTCCATTTTTGTCTGGTATAATTATTGATATCCCAGCTTATTTTATTATTTCTATTACTATAAACTATCTTTTTTCATTTCTTTACTTTCAGTCTGTGTGTGAACTTTGATTCAAAGTTAGTCCTTTATAGACAACATATGTAAGGATTTTTTAAATATTTTATTCATTCAGCCACAGTGTATCTCTTGATTAAATTATTTAATCTATTTTCATTCAAAGTAACTGTGGATAGATTATGTACTTATCGCCATTTTATTATTCTTATTTTCAATTTTTTTCTTCTTCTTAAAGGAGACCCTGTAACATTTTTTATAATACTGACTTAATGATGATGAACTCCTTTAGCTTTCTCTTATCTGTGAAGCTCTTTATCTGTCCTTTGATTACAAATGGTAATTTTACTGGCTAGAATAATCTTGGTTGTAGGTCCTCACTTTATCATCTTGAGTATTTCATGCCTTCAAAGTTTCTGAAGTTGAGAAATCAGCTGACAGCCTAATGGGAGCTCCCTCACATGGAACTAGCTGCTTTCTTCTTGCTGCTTTTAAGATTTTCTTTTTGTCTCTAACCTTTGGAATTTTAATTATGATGTGTCTTGGTGTGGTACTCTTTGGATTCATCTTGATTGGAACTCCTGTGCTTCCTAACTTGTACATGTATTTCCTTCACCAGATTAGGAAACCTTTCTGTAAATATTTTTTTACATAGGTTTTCAATTCCTTGCTCTCTTTTGTCTCTTTCTGGCACTCCTATGTTGGTTCTCTTAAACTTGCCCCATAGGCTCCTTAAATCATCTTTATATTTTTAATTTTTTTCTCTTTGCTATACTGATTGGGTATTTTCTGTTTCCTTATTTTACAAACCACTAATCTGATTCTGTGCTTCATCTATTGTACTGTTGATTTCCTATAAAAGATACTTCACTGCAGCTATTGTATTTTTATTTCTGCCTCTGTTTTTTTTTCAGTTTTCTATCTCTGTTGAACTTCCTACTAAGTTCATCTACACTTTTCCTAAGTTCATTGACCATCCTTATAACCAGAGTTTTGAACTCCAAACCTGGTAGATTTCCTGTTTCCATTTTGTTTAGTTCTTTTTCTGGATTGTCTCTATGCTCTTTCATTTGGGTTATGTTTCTCTGTCTCACAATTTTGGCTGCCACCCTGTGTTTGTTTCTATGTATTAGGTGGAGCTACTATGTCTTCCAGTCTTGGTAGAGTGGCCTTATGTTATGGGTATCCTGTGGGGTCCAATGGCACAGCCTCCCTATTCACCTCAACTTGGTGCTTCAGGTGCACTCTCTATGCGTGCCCCTTCCTGTTGTAGTTGAGCTGTATTTGTTGTGGGCACATCAATGGGAGGGATTTACCACAATGGACTAGAAGAGGCCACTATGGAGGTTCTGCTTTGCAATGGCTGACCCCACAAAGTAGGATTCACTTCATGAGGCCTCTGGTGCCTGCTGAGTTCATCTCTTGAGTGTGTTGCTCATGGAAGTAGTGGTTTGTGATTCAGAATATGCTGAAGCTGTGGACTTGGTGTGCTGGCTCTGGGGCCTCCCAGGAGGTACAGGCCAGGATCAGGCAGACATAAACTACAAAGGGCTGCTACTTGTGCTGGGATGGGGGTGCTTGAAAAACACCAAGCTGTAAAGTCAGGCCAGATGTCACTAGTGCCAGGCCGGGGGCCATTTAATAAGAGTTATTAGGCACGCCAAGACCAGGCACTGCTTGTTTGAAAGATTTTAAGAGAAGACTGCAGCATGAACCAAGACAGGACATTTATATGAAAAAGCCACTGTAAATAGCTTGAGTGGATCCAAAAGTTAGATGGTATGGGGTCTTGGGGAATCACTAGGGTGGAACAAATTTTGTTAGCCAGGTTGATGGAGACTCGGATACAGTGTCTGCTTATGTGTGTGGGGAGGCTTGTGTGTGTGGGGAGCAAAGGAACAGTGACTTTTATCTATTCCCAGCATTTTTTCCTCGGTGAAAGCTGCTCCTATAACCCTTGCTCTGATGCTAGACAATTCATTTTATCTCTGTATGTCCCTGGTGCCTTTCCAGCTGCTGCCCCAGTACTGGAGCTCAGAGTAAATCCATACATGGTCCCTTTAAGACAAACTTCTGGGATTCCAGCAGTCTTCTTTTTCATTCAAGCCATAACCCAACTAATTTTCAGAGGCAAACATTTTGGGGACTTCTCTTCCCAGCACTGTTAGGGTTCTGGTATGGGGCCGAAACACCTCGTTCCTCAGGGTCTACCCTGCAGCTGATATACCCCTCCCAATTTTTAACAGCTAAGTGCAGGTATAGGTCCAACACATTCCACATATCCATCCTTCCAACCAGTCTCTCCATGTGGCATCTTATTTATACCCTTAATTGAAGGATATTTATTTGGCTAGATTTTAGGCATTCCTGAATGGCAGTTGTTCTGTAGTTGTAATTTTGATGAGGTTGTGTGAGGAGGTGAGCACTGCATTTACCAACTCCACCAGCTGGACTGGAAGTTGCATTCTGGTTTCAAATGCTGCCTTTCTACCACTGTTTTATTTATCTTCTTTAAGAATTCCAATAAAATATCAGGTGTATCTTTTTTTCCTATCTTCCCTATATAACTCTGAACCTCCTACTTCTTTAGCTCACTTCATTCTATTGGTTAATATAATTTCCTTTCTTGATAGCCATTAGCATATTTTCAGTAATGTCTGTTTATCCTTAGTCACCTTTCAATTATTTTTTATTATATTTTTCCATTTTATTCCTGAATTTTGTCACTTTTTGGTTTACGACTTTTATTTCTACAATGTAAAGCTATTCTTAAGTTTT